AAAAAAAAAAAAAAAACCAAACAGAGCCATAACCAAAAACACTGGTGAAAGGATAAACCTTTCTTGCCCTTGTAAAATTTGAAGTTCAGCTAAGATTTAAGAGAGAGGAATTGTACAGCAGTGTAGGTAAATCAACTAAGACGTACCCGGATCCTGTACTTGTACATAGCATATCCCCCAACTCCAGCGACAGACAAACCAAGAATGATCACCCACAAAAAGCCCCAGCTAAATTTTGTATTAACAGCTTTACCTGTATGTCCAGTTTAAAATGTCACATTAGAGGTAGAAAAAACTGATAACAGATGATAATTTGATGTATATATCTAAGTAGCATTGAAAACGAATAGCTACAAAAAGATCGAACTTGTCAATAGTGCATCAAAAATCAAGAGGCGCACATATTACATTCCAGATCGAGTGGAAACTCTGAAATGAATACTAATTTCATGTTCCACAAGAATTTAGATAAGTATGAGGGAGTCTTCCTTTCAACTAGACATAACTTGAGTTTTCTGAAGCAAGCGCGTACATTATACATGCACACTAAAACATTTTTACACTTACTTATACATGTGTCTTGTTCATGCATGTATAACAAGTTTCCCTTGCAACTGCATTCATAACTTCCCCAAGTATTCTTGCATTTGCACTCAGGACATTGGCAGGCCAGCTTTTCCTAGCACTCATCAATATCTAAAAGCCATCAAAATAGAAGAACACAAGTAAATCTATNGTATTCTTGCATTTGCACTCTGGACATTGGCAGGCCAGCTTTTCCTTGCACTCATCAATATCTAAAAGCCATCAAAATTGAAGAACACAAGTAAATCTATCAGGAAATATGAACTAGCAGAAGCTAGCGACGTTAGTCTCCATCAGCTAAAATAGAAATTCTCAAAATCCATGCCAAGCAATGCTAGTATTAGTTATATTCACATAAGTAGGAAATCTAGAAAATATTATACCTTCACACCTATTAACACCATCGCCCCTGAATCCTGGTGGGCATTTGCAACCTTTTGTATGGTCATCCTGAAGAATATAGATCAAACTGACTATATTTATATCAACAGCCAAAATGAATTTCTCATGTGACAAAACGAAGAGGGAAAACAACTTTGACGAGGAAAAAGCAAGAGAAGGAAACATATGCACTACAAGAAAGTCAGAAAACTCACAATGCATCCAGAATATGTCCTTCCGCCCTTGGTTCCCTTCCAACAGCCTCCATTATTTATTTCACATCTTAATGCTCCAGATGCTGTCGTACCAGGAAAAAAAAAAGATGTCATGAATGATAAAACTAAGTACGCAGTTCTTTGTAACCCCCTCCTTTCCTTAGGCCCGGGGTAATACTTTATGTTGATTATAGAGTTTCAAGAAATGCACTCAAGAGGAATGACCACAGAAACTCAAATAACTCAAGCAAGTTTGTTGGGCGCAGGGAAGAATAATTACATAAAGTGAAGAAAATAACTTTACGAGTTTATGTTCTATTAAAATTAAACAAACTGTTACACAAAGTTACAATGCCCGAAAATTAAATTGTTGTGGGAATCATGGTAGCTGCAATAATTACCTTCACAATGTGTATAACCATCACCAACAAATTTAACTCCGTTCAAAATGGGGCACTCACACACTCTCCCTCGGAAAGTGTCCTGTAAGACAGTTTTTGTGCACATCAGAAGGGATCAGCGGCCAAAAGATTAAAGCAAACATCGAAAGATTAGAGTACCCTGCATGCAGTAATATTAGCAGCCTTGTCCTGCCAGCATCCACCATTGTTTAACAAACACTCATTTGTTTCTATGTCTGTAAAGATACATAAAAACAAGTTGGGGAAGTCAGGCTGTATCTACTGCGCAAATATGATGCAAGATTGAGTTGCATTGCTTAGTTTGAAATAGGTCTTTCAAATAACATTCAGTAAGATATTCAAGATGTTCCTTCTTTCACTTTTTGTTTAGCAAAGAGAGGAGACTAGATACATAATAATAGAGAACTGTAACATTAGAAGATAGAGATGGAGAGTGGACCTTCGGTCAAACAAATAGAAGGCTCAGTAGACTCCTCAAAACCTGAACATATGGCCTTAAGAACTGCTCCTTTGTCCAGCTTGCCTGAAAATTAGGATCGTTTTTATTAATATTATTTCTCAATGAAACGCGATGGCTATTTAGCTTCTAAAAGTTTGTACCTCTGTATTGTTGGTTATTTATAACCAGAGTTGGCAATATAGTCACATCTCCACGGGAGCCCTTACCTATCTGATACGATCATCATAAATTATCAACTCTTACAGAAACAGTTATCAAATTGCTGTAAAAAAGTAATAAAGGCCTTTCAGTTGGTAAAACCTGAGCATCTTGTTCGGCTTTCAGAATTGGGTTGTCTGCATCTGCCTCTGTATCTCCTACGCATTTGTCTATCTGCTGAATATCAATTCCTGAAAAGAATCAATAGTCAATAAGTAGAAAAATGAGAAGAGGATTTATTTATGACACAGTGAATAGCAGGTGAAGAAAATAAAAGTTCTTGATGGAAAACAAGATCAAATCCAAGTTCCAAGATTCAAATTATAAGCAATAAGGAGGGAGATTATGTTGGAGAACTCTATTAGCCTTCCATCTCCAGAAATTTTTTTGTTCATTGAGCTTAAGTCAATGGCAAGCATCACCAGCGATCTGACTCAATTAAACCTTATGACACGAGATAGTACTAATTTGACAATGAACAAGCAATGGAACAAGAAAGAAAGGGGTCCAAGAAGAGGAAGAATTGAGGACAGAGAGAAATAATTTTATTCAAATAATCAAGGGTGACTATTAAAATAAATAAGTTCTCTATTTATAGAGCAACTATTTAAAATAATAAGGAACTTCTACTAATCTTGAACTTTATCAAAATATTAAATTAAATTTAATCTAACCTAAACATCTATAATTGAAATTAAACTATATTTTAAATTCCTATCTAATCTATATCTCTATCTCCATCACCTTATCCCCCACCTACCACGGGTTGGGTAGATGGATCTTCTTCTCCAACACCACTATACCAAGAGTCATCTCTAAAGTGAAACCATAAAGTTTCAGATCGCTTTTGTTGCTTTGACTCATTGATGTTAGGTTGACTTCTTCGCCTACTAATTGATACACTCCTATGTTACTTTTCCTAACCAGTTCATCCAGTGATCTTCATTGAATATTATCAAAACATCTCAATAGGCTCTCCCATGATATATGCTCAAAGGGCTCGAACTTAACCAATTCAAAAATATTGTCATTTCTTATTCTGATGATCTTGTTTTCTTAGAAATCTATCTCAACGTTCTTCTCTCAACTACACTTGGTTTATGTATGTCTTAATATCTAAACATTAAGGTTGTGTTTGAGCCCTATTCTTGGGGAAAATAGGTTTTGAAATAGTAATTTTTGGAAGAATATGTGGTTAAAAAGAAGATAAAAGTTTTGGGTTTACGCGTGCTATGTTAAAAAAAATTATTTCCTAACCCACAAAAAATTGAAATGGGTTGGGTCTAGCCTGGGCTTCCCCTAGATCCGCCAGTGTTAAGACGTTGTAATCATCAATAACGTCTCGAAAACAGAATGTCAGATTCATGCATGAGCTTAATATATAGTACGGATCTGAACCACTTCTCTTATTAACACATGCAGAAAAAATTTAACCTACCTAGGGACTGGATTACTTGATCTGCACACTCTTTAGTGTACTTATTTTCTTTCATTGGACAGCGAATTGAAAAATCTGTAACATAGTCCCACCACAACCATGGCTTTCCACTTTCATTTGCTAACTTAAAGAAGCAAGCTTGGCGTAGATTTTGCACTACAACGTCCTTCCCGTCATATCCCCTACTGAAATCCTGTTCAGGATCTGGTGCACAATACCTCCCACGGTTGATACACTGTGACATGCACTGTTTGCTCAAAATAAAAGAATCAGGACAGTACCAAGTTATATAACGTGGAGTGAACTGAGTGTAGCCTTTCTTTTCAAGTATTTGGGCAGCTCCTTTGAAATTTTTTACAAACTCTATCTGGCTTTCACACTTGGGACCACACTCATCATTACTATTTGTCCAGAACTCGTA